GGCCCCCTCCCTGCTCTAACCCCTAGACCCCACTCCCCTCCCAGAGCAGGGAGAGAACCCAGGAGTCCTGCCATCCAGCCCCCCTGCTCGAACCACTAGACCCCACTGCCCTCCCAGAGCCGGGAGAGAACCCAGGAGTCCTGGCTCCCAGCCCCCCCTGCTCGAACCACTAGACCCCATTCCCCTCCCAGAGCCAGGGAAAGAACCCAGGAGTCCTGGCTCCCAGCCCCCCTGCTCTAACCAGTTGCTCCCCCTTTGAATCCTGGGGGGTGGATGAGCACCAGGAAAGCACCCAGGCTCCCCCCGCCACGGTGTCTTCCTCCCTTCCTGTCCCTGGCTCGGAAATGCCCCATGGTCGTTCCTCTGCTGCCCTAGTGGAGGTTCTGAGCTGTGTGGTGCCAGAGCCCTAACCCGCCCCGTCCTTCCCCTGCTCCGCCCCGTGCAGCACCTGGCCGCAGTGGAGGAGCGCAAGATCAAGTCTCTGGTGGCCCTGCTGGTGGAGACCCAGATGAAGAAGCTGGAGATCAAGCTGCGACACTTTGAGGAGCTGGAGACCATCATGGACCGGGAGCGCGAGGCAGTGAGTGCGACCCTGGGATTGCTTCTCCCTCCACCCCACACACAACTAGCTTCACCTAGCGCTGAGATCCAGCCACCTCTGGGGTGGGGCATAGCTGTTTGTGTAGGATCACTCACCCACTGCTGAGATGCAGCCACCTCTGGGGTGGGCATAGCTGTTTGTGTAGGATCACTCACCCACTGCTGAGAGGCAGCCACCTCTGGGGTGGGGCATGACAGCTGTTTAACCAATCACACATCAGCGTGGCATGAGACTGCAGGTTAGGAAGTGAAGAAAGAATCCGTGTTGAAGGGACTTTTAGTGGAGGTCCTAGCAGATGGGGCTTGAGGAACGGATCTGACCCTGTCAACTGCAGTACAAGCCTCTGCCCTAGTGATGGCCAAAGTGACTCCGGAGTCTGGGGTGTAGCCCTTGGCCAGCCTGATCCAATCTGGGGCCTGGTGATCACGGAAGTGGGGGGCTGGGGAGAGCCTGGATCCTGGATTGGGCAGAGTAAAGGGGGAGGTCCCAATGACAGAAGGGACCCATACAGGGCATGCAGCCAAGGGGGGTGGCCGGGGAGGCTGTCCAGGGGCAGTGCCACACGAGCCTGGCCCGAGTGACCGGCGGGTGCCCTCTCTGCAGCTGGAGTACCAGAGGCAGCAGCTCCTGGCAGACCGACAGGCCTTCCACATGGAGCAGCTCAAATACGCCGAGATGCGCGCCCGGCAGCAGCACTTCCAGCAGATGCACCAGCAGCAGCAGCAGCAGCCGCCTCCGCCCCTCCCGCCCGGCTCCCAGCCCATCCCGTCCTCCGGGGCTCCCTTAGCGCCAGCCGCCCACTCCATGCCCGTGGCCCAGGCCCCAGGGGCACCGACCGCGGCCAGCCTTGTTCCCCAGCCCAGCCTGGCTCAAACGGAACAGATCGGCCAGGCAGTGACGGCCGTGCCGGGGGCTCCGCACACAGTACCAGCTCAGCAGGGACAGACCCCTGCCGGCCCTCACGGTAAGTGCCTCCCGCCAGCCAGCCAGAAACCGGGGTACAAGCTGGCCTGTGGGACCACCGTGTCCCCTTTGACTGTCTGACTCAGGGTCCCTCTCATTCGTTCTCGTTGCCTTCAGCGTAGTGGGGGGAGGAGGGAGGTGGACTCACAATGCCACGGTCCCTTCTTTTATACACTCAGTTCACATGCTGGGAAGATACTGGCTCGGAAACGGAGTCAAGCATCAGGTGTCATGAGGTGCCTGGCTGCAGCAGATAATGGCGCGGTCCCTATTGTGTGGCGCTTGAGCAGTTGTCTCTTGTTAAATTGCAGGGTGGATTTGATTTAAACCAACTTGATTTAAATCATGATTTAAATCACTAGTCAGGAAGACTCGATTTAATCATGGTTTTCTACATAAAAGTGCATTCTTGCTGGTTGTTATACCCTTAATACATATTCTTCACAGCTCAGAGCTAGATGTAGCTTCTAACATTTTTAGAAGGTGCACACTCTCCATTTTTAAACAGTGATTTATTTTGAAAACTTTTCAGGTTAGTTTTACAGCTGTACCAGGAAATGAATGTTTGGTTATTTCATTTACCAAAGGTAATTGAAGCAGATATTTATGAAGTCATTGGGAGGTGAACGATCTCCAATTCACCAGGTTAATCATTAATAATTGGATGGTTTTCTTGCCAGGCTGGATTAGGAGAACATCACCAGACAGATATTGAAATTGTTTTATTTAACTAAAACAACAACGTTAAGTATTCTGGATATTTTTTTTCTTCAACAGCAAACATATAATATTTTAACAAAACAAGCATATGTCCCTCGCTTCTCACATTTATCTCCAGACTTCTTCTCCTTGTCCAGATCTATTTCCCCCCCCCCCCAACCATCTTCTAGTCATTGAACTTTTTGAAACTTTGCACTTTTAGAGAGAGGTAAGGGATTGACTCTGTGTACACAAATTTGCAGAGGGACAATAGAGTTGAGGTCTGTCATTTCTCACCTCTATATATTATTTATTTAAAAACATTTTTGCTGTTAACAAGCATGTTATCTCTGGAGACACAAATCCACAGTTTGAGAACTGCAAAACTAAGCATCTGATGGTATCTTCTAGACTGAGCACTGCGTCCCATTGGGTAGATCGAAAGATTAACCTAAATCTATACAGAAGCCCCTGGAACCCCGTAAGATTGGGTCCCTAATCCATGAACTATTGGAACTCATTTACAAAACTTTTCTTATTCATTATATGAATATATTGCCTCATACTATAGAATTAGAATTTAGAATCCCTATTCCATGATGCGCTATCTTTGAGCTAGAATGTACCCTAATTAAGACTATCTTTAGATAGGTTTTTCCCTCAAAAAGCATTTTATCAACAAAATCCAATTTAAATAAAAAAATCTGATTTTTTTTTTTAAATCATTGATTTTTATCCACCCTGTTAAATTTGTAAATCTGTTTCCAATCCCTTGCTCATCAGTGGCTGCTGATGGTCACTTAACACCCATCTGGGTGTGGGCCACCTGCCTTGTTGCCACTGGGGAACCAGCTGTGGGCGTCTCCCAGACCCACAGCAACAACCAGGGAGCAAAATCTCATAACTCCCTGTGCAATGGGGATGTTCCTCCCCCGACGGAACAAGGAGATTCAGCGAGTCCTGACTTTTCATGGGATACCTTACAAGGCATCCTTTGTATGAAATATCACCGTGGTTCTCAAACTGTGGGGCGGGACCCTGTTTTAATGGGGTTGCCAGGGCTGATTTTGACATAATGGGGCCCAGGGCTGAAGCCCTGGTATCGGGACTTAGGTTACAGGCCCCCTGCCTGGGGCTGAAGCCCTTGGGCTTTGGAGGTGGTCCCCCCGCCCCCCCCCGGCCCCGGGGGGGGGGGCCGGGGGTTTCCCCCCCCCCCCCCCCGAGGCTTTGGTCCCCCTCCTGGGGTCGTGCAGTAATGTTTGTTGTCAGAAGGGGGTGGCGGTGCAGTGAAGTTTGAGAACCCCTATATCCCAACCATAGAGCAGTGGTGCCTACGTGGGTACAGGATGTTACCCCTGAGGCTTGGGAGTGCCAGGAGATGGCAGACACTCCCTGCTGCCCCAAAGCCGCCCACCCGCCCCGCCTCCCAGCAAGAGGGATTGACGATGAGTCTGCCTCGCGGGGCCGGGGCCAGCCACAGAGGAGGATTGTAAAGGGCCAGGACTGCACTGCCACGTGTAACCCTGTCGCTGGTTTCTCTCTTTCTCCAGCCCAGCCTCCATTCCCCGGCCAGCAGCCCTCCTCTCAGATGCTCCCCGGGACGGTTGGAGTGAGCTCTCACCCCGGCGTGCCCGGTAATCTCCCGGCGGCTCTGCCTTTCGGAATGCCTCCATCCATCCCATTTAGCATGGCTAGTAACGTAGCAGACTCCATCAGTATTAACCTCCCCGCTAACACGCCCGCTCATCCAATGCATGGTAACCTCCCGTGCGGCATGCTGGCCGGGGGCGCCCTGGCCCTGCCTAACCTGCCCGTCACCGTGTCTAGCGCGATGCACCCTAGCATGCTGACGACCAACGGACCGCCGCTCGCCGCGCCCGCCTTGCCTCCTGTCTCGGGACTGGCCTCGGCAGCGGCCCAAAGCCCGGCCATTGTGGCGGCCATGCAGGGCAGTCTCCTTCCAAACGCCGCCCTGGCACCAGGTGAGATTCCGCAGCAGGGCAGGGGGGCCTCGTAGATGCCGCTGTCTGCCCCCGGCTGGGCTCGGGCCTGGGCCGTTCGGTGGCTACCTCCGCAGGGCAGGGTTGGGGGGCGCTGTGGGCGGGGAAGCCACTGCCCAGCTCTGTGCCCGCCTGCCCCTACCCGTTCTCCTGGCTGGCAAGGGAGGTGAGGACCCCTCGCTATTCACCTCCATCCCCTCCTTGTGACGTGCGCCGGGTGCAGGCTGGAGGGCCGCTGCGCCCCCCACCCCCTTCTGCTATCCAGAGTTGGGGCGCTGCAACCTGTCAATTCTCTCCCGCAGACCAGGGCCCCCCTCTGCAGACGGACCCCATCGCACCCAGCACGGCCACCCCGGTCCCGCCCACGCAGTGAGGCTGCTCCGCCCACCGCCCGGAGATGCCACCCGACAGGACAAAAACCTTCGCAACCTGTAAAACCTGCCTGGGATTGGTTGGGATGTGGGAGGGGGGGTGGGGATTTCGTTGGTTTCAAAAAACACATTGATCACAGGGTTAAAAAGGAATCGCCCGTGTTCAGCCCTCAGTCCCACTGTGTCTGTCTGTCCTGCCCCCTCGCTGCCACCCCCGGGCTTTTTTTGTATCCGATCGTCCCGAGACTTTTATTTAAAGGCGCTGAGAACCACCTCTGACAGCGCTGAGGGGCCTGTTGGGGCGGAGGTGACGGCTATTTATAGAAGGCTCTGAATTTACCTGGTTCCTGGGCATTTAAAGCTCTCGTGTCTTCTCTCTCTCTCTCTCTCTCTTTTTTTTTTTTTTTAATAATAAAAATAAAATAAAAATTCCAAGTTCCCCGGGGTGGGAAGAAGCGGCACCGTGTGGGGGATCTGTCTGCCTGGGACGGGGAGGGAGGGATGGAGTCCCCTGTCCCCTCCCTGCAGTGTCCCTTTGGGGCGTGTGGCTCATGGTGTCCCCGTTTGTTGGGCGTGCGGAAAGCAGGATTCAGCCTCCAGGCTCCCACCCCCTTTCCCAAAGCAAACGTGACTGCAGGGGACAGTGCCCCTGGAGCTGGAGGTCATGGGACCCACTTGTGCTCAGTGACCTTCCTACCGTGGTGATTTCTTGGTTGATAATTCTTCCTGAGCCTTTTATCCCAGGGGATCCTAGTTCTATGGACTCGGGGTGTCTCGGTGAGCCTAAAACAGCGTAACAATCAGGGGAGGACTGGGAGAGGTCTGCCTTCTGCCACTGAGCTGACAGAGACAACGAGGAGTCCGGTGGCATCTTAAAGACTAACCGATTTATTTGGGAATAAGCTTTCGTGGGTAAAAAAACCCACTTCTTCAGATGCATGAAGTGAAAATTACAGATACAGGCATAAATATACTGGCACATGAAGAGAGGGGAGTTACCTTACAAGTGGAGAACCAGTGTTGACAAGGCCAATTCAGTCAGGGTGGATGTGGTCCTCTCCCAATAACTGATGAGGAGGTGTCAATTCCAGGAGAGGGAGAGTTGCTTTTGTAGTGAGCCAGCCACTCCCAGTCCCTATTCAAGCCCAAATTGACGGTGTTAAATTTGCAAATAAATTGAAGCTCTGCAGTTTCTCTCTGAAGTCTGTTTCTGAAGTTTTGTTTTTGAAGGATGGCTACTTTTAAATGTGTTCTAGAATGTCCAGGGAGATTGAAGTGTTCTCCTACTGGCTTTTGTATGTTGCCATTCCTGATGTCCGATTTGTGTCCATTTATTCTTTTACGTAGGGACTGTCCGGTTTGGCCAATGTACATGGCAGAGGGGCATTGCTGGCACATGATGGCATATATCACATTAGTAGACGTGCAGGTGAATGAGCCCCTGATGGTGTGGCTGATGTGGTTGGGTCCTCTGATGGTGTCGCTAGAGTAGATATGGGGACAGAGTTGGCAACGAGGTTTGCTACAGGGATTGGTTCCTGGGTTGGTGTTTCTGTGGTGTGGTGTGTAGTTGCTGGTGAGTATTTGCTTCAGGTTGAGGGGCTGTCTGTAAGCGAGGACTGGCCTGCCTCCCAAGGTCTGTAAGAGTGAGGGATCGTTTTCCAGGATAGGTTGTAGATCGTTGATGATGTGCTGGAGAGGTTTTAGCTGGGGGCTGTATGTGATGGCCAGTGGTGTTCTGTTATTTTCCTTGTTGGGCCTGTTCTGTGGTAGGTGACTTCTAGATACCCGTCTCGCTCTGTCAGTCTGTTTCCTCACTTCCCCAGGTGAGTATTGTAGTTTTAAGAATGCCTGATAGAGATCTTGTAGGTGTTTGTCTCTGTCTGAGGGACTGTAGCAAATGTGGTTGTATCTTAGAGCTTGGCTGTAGACAATGGATCATGTGATGTGTCCGGGATGGAAGCTGGAGGCATGTTTCCAGTATAGGGTGGTGTTTATGTGACCATCACTTATTTGCACTGTAGTATCCAGGAAGTGTATCTCTTGTGTGGACTGGTTCAGGCTGAGGTTGATGGTGGGATGGAAATAGTTGAAGTCCAGGTGGAATTCCTTAAGGGCCTCCTTCCCGTGGGTCCAGATGATGATGATGTCATCAGTGTAGCACAAGTAGAGGAGGGGCGCTAGGGGACGAGAGCTGAGGAAGCGTTGTTCTAAGTCAGCCATAAAAATGTTGGCATACTGGGGGGCCGTGCGGGTACCCAGATTGTCCCAAATCTGAATTGGTTGTGGGTGAGGACAAAGTCACAAAGCTCAGCCACGGGTTTTTTACCCACGGAAGCTTATGCCCAAATAAATCTGTTAGCGTTTAAGGTGCCGCCGGACTCCTCGTCGTTTTGGTGGATACAGACGAACACGGCTACCCCGCTGATTCTGAGCTGACCGAAGTTCTCAGTGAGGTGGGACCCACTGGAAAAAAAAGTCAGTGCTCCCCCTGCTGTTGGCTGTCGGTCACTGCGACCCCTAAGTGCTGGGCTTAGGCCCCGGCTTGTATTTTAGAGCTTCCACGAGGCTCTGCAAAGCCACAGAAATAGCGAAGGCCAAGATCTGAGCCTCTCTCCCGTCCCTGGTACAAGGGCCGTGTACCCTGCTGGCCCTGGGCATCCCTTGCTAAGGGCAGACTCTCCCCTCGGTGCAGTGGGGGGGCTCCAGGCTCACAGTGCGGCCGTGGGCGGGTTTCCATGGCCACGTCCCCTCTCGCTTTGGCATGGTCTGTGGGAGTGGTGCTGGACGGCAGGGGCAGCGACCTGGGTTAGAGACTGGCCACAGAGCTGGCCCGGGCCTCGCTGGGCACGTTTGGCCAGTGGTACTGGCTGCCCCGCCAGCTCCTCGCCCGAGGAGGACGACGCGGCTGGAGTGTAGAAGGGGAGGCAGAACGGAGTCGCGGGCTGGGAAACCGGCGTCTAGGGGGAGACGGAAGCAGGTTGATCTGGTTTGTCTAAGAGAAGGGCAAGAGGTGAGTGGATCCCAGTCTGCAAGGCGCCCCGGGGCCCAGGGCTGGACACCAGGGGGTGCCGTTCCAGCTGGCAGAGCAGGGCCCACAGGTGGCGAGCGGAAGTCAGACACATTGCAGCTAGCGAGGAGGTGCCGTGGTGAACAGGGAGGGGCACTGCCAGTGGGACTGGCTTGTTGGGGGCCAGGCTGGGCTCGCTGGTGCTTGGCGGTTTTCCATGGAGGCTGGGGGGGGGAGAGGGGTCCTCAAAAAGCTCCCCAGGAGGTGGGGGCGGGGGCTGCAGGTTGTTCTCTGGCTTGGCAGACGCAGGAGCCAGACGGGCACTTCTCACCTTAGGCTGGGAAGCAAACAGTGCTGGGGGTGCCCTGGACGGGGGGGCAGGGGAGACAGCGCGACCGGGCTACGTGCTGGTTTAACGGGAGGAGCCCTACAGGGCATCTCTCACCTCCCTCTGCCTGGTGGGGCGGGGGGGATACAGGTTGGAGCGCTGAAGGAGGGGCCAGGTGCATTTGAGGACAGGTGCCCCAGGGCTACCCATGAGCCCCATCAGCAGGGGCTTTGATCCTAGCCCCAGCGGGCCCCACGTCTCCCAGGGGGCCGCTCCAAGCGCCCAGACTCACATGCCTGGGGGGCGGGGGAGAGGGAGACTGGTCCTGGGCCGAGTGGTACCAGGGAGGCGGAGGCTCCAGGAAGGCCCAGCTGGGCGTTACAGGGGTGGGGGATGCTTGTCCTGCTGGAAGCCAACGCGGTGCCCCCCGGTGCTCGAAGGCCTTCGTACCCTGCAGGCCCGTGGCCAAATGGTGCAGACTCCAGAGCCCTGGGGGGGGGGGGGGGCAGCCCGGGCAGGACCCCTGCCACCCAGGCCCTGATGCTGCGCGGAGGGGGCTGCTCCCGAGTACCGATGAGCAGCAGCTGCCTGTGGCTGAGGTGGGCCCAGACCGGGCGTGTGCCAAGCAGGGCCCCGACCCTCGCCAGGCCCAGGTGGCTCTGAGCACGCAGGGCTGCTGGGAGAGCGGCCGACTTCCTGCTTGAGTTCCTCCCTCAGCCTCTGCCCCACGCGTTAACCCGGGGCAGCGCCGGGGGCACGTGGGCATGGGGCACTGTTGGCTTTATTAGGGGCTGCAGCCCCCACCCTGCTGTGGGGGAACTGGGGGGGCAGGATGCCGGGAACGTGCTTTTCCTTCCATGTAAGGGGCTGGCTGCAAGGACGCTCCCAACAACGGCCAGGCTAAAAATAGACACCGCTGGGGCCTGCTGGGAAGAGTCAAACCCGCTGGAGCAGAGCGGCAGGAAACGCAGTGCAGGCCTGGGCTAAGGTGTGGCAGCCGGGGGGGGGAGGGGGGCTGATTGGGGCCAGCAGCTGGGCAAGGTGCTTTGTGCCCATGCCTCAGTTTCCCTGCTGTAAGATGCCGAGGGGGGGTAATAGTCCCCCCCCCCGTGGTGCCGGTGCTGACAAGCGGGTAGTGGTACAGTGCGGAGCAGTGACACACACTGAAGGAGGGCAGGAGCCCCACGGCACTGCAGCAGCCTGGCCCGTGCCCCCCAGCCATGCTGCTGCGCAGGAGCGGCAGGGTTATTTTTGGGGGTGGGAGTGCCTCCCCCCTCAGCCCCCTATTTAATAGCCCCTCTCGCTGCCTGCCAGGGGTAGTGTGTGCCCGCCCCCCACGTGCAGCAGGTCGCTGGAGCCAGGTAACACCCCCCCCCCCCCCGCTGTGGGTCACTCTCAGCCCTGCCCCTCATCAGCGGACACCAGCCATTTTAATTCCATCGCCAGCCAGCGGGTTTGGTGTGTGGCTGGATTCCTGTGCTGGGCAGGGCCCCCCCCAGATAGGGGTGGGATTGGGGGTAACAGCCACCCCAGCTCCTTTACTCCATCACTCAGCCTAGCATGGCTGTGGGACCTAGAGGGCAGAACCCACCCCTGCCCCTCAGCAGCCCCCCAGCTAATCCCAGCTCTGCTATTGACCTGCTGGGAACACCACCACTCCCCTCTGTCCCTCAGTTTCCCCACACCATTGTAAAGGGCTCTAAGAGCCAGCATTACTAGGGTATATACCGGCATACATTATATGCATCCGAAGAAGTGGGTTGTAGCCCACGAAACCTTATGCTCTAATAAATTTGTTAGTCTAAGGTGCCACAAGTACTCCTGTTCTTTTTGCGGATACAGACTAACACAGCTGCTACTCTGAAACCTGGCATTACTAGAGGCAGGGTCCAGGGGTGTCCTCGCCAACTCCCCCCAGCACCCCCCCATTTGTCCCTCGGGCTGCTGACTCCTGCTCAGCCCCTGCTGCGCTGTCATTCCCCGCGGCTGGCACACCCCATCCCTCTAGAGACCAGGTCCAGGTGCCGAAGTTAGAAGGTGCCCATCGGTCCGCGGCAGGGGAACACAGCCCTGGCCCAAGGAGGAGATTGACACCATCCCAGCTGCAGGAGTGCCAGGCTGTGAGCTTCTGGCCTGGACCACATGGATCCGCCTGGGCATGTAACAGCCCGCTGCGTTTTCCCATAACCCGTCTCTGGATCCTTTCTCACCCTCCCCATCCCTGTCCAGGCACTGCGTTCACCCCCCACTTTCCAAACAGGCCCGAGAGCCACCACTTTTCAAACCGTTTATTAAGTGAAAGCAGCTGGAAGGAGAAACAACTTCACACAGCTGCAGGAGTTAGAAGGGGGTGGGGGGGACCCCAGAAAGAAAACAGGGATCACTTCCTCCCCCCCCAGCCCCAGGGAGCACCCCTGGGACAGCCCCCTGCAGCAGGGGAAGTCTCCTTGTGGTCCACACAGGGAGGGAAAGTTTACAGAGGGCATAGAAAAGGCACAGAACAGAATAAACCTGAGCGCCCGGCAGCGAGCCAAAGCCTCGGGGGGGACGGGACGGGGGGAGATCTGCTGGACTCTTC